TGCAAAAGATCTACCTCCCACATGTACTTTTATGCAAGCTGATGACAGCTCCTCAAAACACAGTTCAGCAATAGATACCTGTGCAGAGACGGCCTGTGCGCCCGGTCTTTGCCTGCCTTCACCTCGTCCACGGGCAGATTTGAGGATTCCATAGAGTATTTCTTGAAAAGTAGCCTCCAGCTACCATCCTTCCTTGAATGTTGTTCCTTGCAACAGAATGCTCACTAAGTATTAACCACATGGAGCTTCAATTATGTATTCTATTCTTTATCTCACTGTAGTTGCTTTCAGCTGGGCGTGGTTATGTGTGCCTGTATTCTCAGCACTGAGGAAGGCTGAGGCAGGAGGATGACAAGTTTGAGTCCCACCTGGGCAACTCAGCAAGAACTTGTCTCAAAAATACATACATACATACATATATGCCTGCGTGCATATATACATACATCCATACATACATATATGCAGCTGGGATGTAATTTCCTAGTGGTATCCCCCTGGGTTCAATCCCCAGTTGGAAAACAAATTGTAGTTACTCTCTATTCCCCGTTGAATATAAGCCTACGTGCCTTTGAAGCATTTATCCTGAGATTAAGTTTGTGAAAATTGTCAGAATCTACATGGAGTCACTGGTGTCACTCTTAACAAAAACAGTAATGTGTTACAAACGTGAACATAAGAAACATGAACAATATGTACTTCAAACATGTACTAATGGAAATATAACAAAAAATAATAAGAGCACGAATTTGTGAAAAGGGGACCTCACACGTGTGTACCGTATGATCAAAACATACAGTGAATGTTTAATAACGTTAATATACTACAGGTCACTGCCGTTAATCCCCTCACAATACTCCCAGGTCCTCCAAACACACTTTTCCCATCATTCTTGTCACTTTCTGAAGCTGTTCTGGGGGTCACTTTTCTTTGTGTCTTTAGTTGTGCTGTTGAGGCTGCCTCTATGTCCTGAACTAATTCAAAGCACTTACCTTCCATGGTCATTTTGACTTTGAGGAAGAGCCGGGAGGTATGTGCTGCCAGATCTGGTGATCAAAGTGGGTGGGGATACACTAACGTTTTTATTTGACAGTAAGTATGATGCAGGGGATCAAAAAGTACAGTGAATGTTAAAATTTAAAATGTTGTTACAGTAAAAGGCACATTGTTATGATCCACCTTCAAAATAGCCCCCCTTGCTTCAAACACACTTATCCCATTATTCTTGGCACTGCATCTTACACTGAAGTTTTTTTAACTTAGACATTCATATCTTTTGGTCCCCTCTTATATGCCTGATAACAAGGATTGTCACAGGCACCTCTTCCAGAACCACAACCTTTCATAAAAGTCACCAAAACCTTACACAAGAAATACTTCTGCGAGGACATCTGCCACTTCTGTGATGACATCAGCCCAGCGCCTGCTTGTCCAGCTCTGGGCTGATGACACCCTTGAATACTGACTGATCCTCGTAGCCAAGGTTGGCTAGTTCAAAACAACTATGAAAGCCTCCTCATTTTACCTTTTAATACCTTTGTTTGCCTTGAAAACACACATCGTTTACTATGGGCAGTTGTGTTCCCATTGCAATGTTCATTCCTAATGAAGTTCATTATTTTGGAGAATCTCTGTTGTTGGTTTATACACACGGACAAGTGAGAGGTGTACATGAGCCTCAGTATCCACCCTACTTCCAGGTGAGCCGAGAACACAGCTGTGGACAGGGCGCAGGCTCCTCCAAATCTATTTGAATCTGTTAGCGTGTGAGTGAGTGAGTTAGCAAAGTCCGGTGTTCTTCTCCCTATAGCACAGTTTCAATAGTCTTAGCCCAGGGGAAGAAATCTTGAGGAGGTGTATCCAGAAGCCCAGCTCCACAAGCCACTGTAGCCGCAACTCTGAAATACCTGTCCTGAGCAATGTTACTCTGCTGTCTACCCTCCACGGGAAATTAGGGGACTGTTGTAGGAGTATTTGGTCTTTGTCCCTGGCTCCTGGCACAGATTTACTAAGAATCTTGGGATTTTCTGAGTGACAGGGAGGAGTGTTACCCATCATCCCTGGTGAGTTCCTTCCGTGTACCTGAGTTTATGCTAATGAGGTAACCAAGGGGGAGGCTCCTCCTAGGTAGTCTCAGGGGTAGTCTTTGCTTTAAAGGCTAAATGATTAAGAGCCTGGAACCAAGCCTTGGGCCTCACTTGCCCACCTCAAGGAAGTGGGGGAGGCTGGAGTTGAGCCTTGTAGCCACTTTTTTGTTATTTGTTGTTGCTGTTGTTATTTTTATACAGGGTCTTGCTGTGTAGTCCCGGCTGGCATTGAATGCCCCAGGTATCCCAGACTGGCCTAGAGCTTGTGATCCTTTGTCTTCCCCACTGCTAGGATTTCAGGTGCGCACCACCACGTCCAGTTTATAACGGCCCTGCAACAGTGAGAGTCAGTGAACTCCTGGATTGGTGCATGCATCCCCCTG